CAGCTCAGACTTCACTTCCTTTCTGACATCTTTACTAGCTGTTTTTTTCCTCCTGAAAAATTAGGAATCTCTTCCATGCTCTATGAAACTCCCACAGATTTTTGTATTTGTCCTTTCATTCTGTATTTCATAGTCCATGCATTTATCCCTTTCAAAGATGTAGGCTCCTTAGGGAGGTACCGCATATCAATCCTCTTTATAACTCAGCAACTTATGCAATGGTGGATTGGAAAATATTTGTTGAATGATCAAAATATGTTCTGCCTAGAACAAAATACTAGCCGTAATTTTTTTTTAATGGACTCTCACTTTGTCGCACAGACTGGAGTGCAGTGGTGGAATCTCTGCTCACTGGAAACTTCGCCTTCTGGGTTTAGAGCAATTCTCCTGCCTCAGCCTCCCAAGTAGCTGGGATCATAGGTGCATGCCACCATACCCACCTAATTTCTGTATTTTTAGTAGAGATGGGGTTTCAGTATGTTGGCAAGGCTGGTCTTGAACACCTGGCCTCAAGTGATTGACCCATCTCAGTCTCCCAAAGTGGTGGAATGTATAAAACTGATTGATTCTCATTGCAGAGTGTTAATGAAGTTCATATATCTTTAACAGGCATGCCTGGATTGCCTGAGACGAGTGGCCTCTTAACATTCTAGTATTGCTCTTGCCCGCTACTACTGCCACGACGTTAGTAGCAAAAACACAGGTGAGGCTTGGGAAGGCTCCCTGGCCTTTAATCATCACCTGGGTTATACTCAACTCCTGACTACCTAGATACCCCAGCCGTCACGTTCCTTGGCTTTAAAAAGAGATAATGAAGAGGATTTTTTTTAAAAAGGGGTATGGTGGGTGGGGAACAAATTTATAAAAGGAGTTAGAGAGGGCTCTGTGGAGAGGTTCAAGACCAGCAAACAGGCCGCAGTTCAGCTCTCTAGAGAAGAAGGGAAGCATCACACCCCACAGCTCCCAGCTGCAAGGGGAGCTCAAAAAATATCTCACAAAACCCCTGTCACAAATCCAGAAACGCACCAGGAGGGAGACACCGCACATCACCCTGGCAGGGCAAGAAATTCAGAGACAAAATGTGGTATATCTCATCCCAAAACCGGGTTGTTTGTGACACTAAAGAAAGTTGCCAAACAGGTGACCCAAGGCAGGCTGAAAGCAGCAGGAACTAGTCCACGCTGCAGTAGCAGCGTCGGGTGCATGGGCACTGTGAACCCCACAATGTTTGGCAGTCCTGAATCGTGGCTGGCAAACCAAGGCCTGTGGGACAAATGTAGCCCAAGGCCTATTATTGAAGAGCCCGTGAGGGAAAATGATTTTTGTTTTAAAAATATTATACGTATTTAAGAGATTAGCATACAATAGAGACCATATGACTGCAAAGCCACATTTGCTATCTGGCCTTTTATGGAAAATCTTTGCCAACCCCTGTACAGATTCTGTCTGTACAGCTGAGTCTTTTATCACACGCAGATCCAGAATAATTTACAGAAATGCACTCACTGGGATGAGATTCTTTTTAAAAATTTTGAAATGATTATGGCCAACTTGGGTTTCTCCATGTGAAAGATTAAAGAGTAAACTTTATTATCTTGCTTCCGAGGATACTCTTTCTCTGAAGAGAGAATCTAGTGTGGAGAAAGCGTAGGACAGGAAGTCAGGAGATCTGGCTTCCAGTGACAACATCAAGACTGGCTGAGGATCTTAGCAGCTCACCTAACATCACTGTCCTCTAATTTCCTGATCTACAAAACAGGGACAATATCTACCTTACTCTCCTCACATGGTGGTTGTGAGGATACCGTGAGATGACAGATACACTATGCTTTGCAAGGTTGAAAGGGAAATACAAATAAAGGTTTAATGAATAATGACATCATCAACCGTTAATTATTGCTACTTTGGGGGAGGATGAAAGACATGGATAAATTAAGTCATTAGTTATTAGTAGAACTTTCTACTCCGGTTTTTTATCTCTTTCCTCATTAAATCTTTAATAACACAAGTATCAGGATGGTTTGAGTTTAAAGTTTTCATCCTTTAATTTGGTAAGTGTATGTTTTGTTGATTGTGGATTTTGTGCTCAGTACCTGTGGGAGGAGTGGAAATTAACAATGAATGGTTCTGATACCGTCATTAAACTTAGAGGAGGGAGGAAGTTAGAAGCCCAGAAAATTTAAAAGAAAAAACAAAACCAAACCCCAAAAAGCCCATTTTATTATCAACCTCACTATCAAAACCTATTTCTTTAAAGCTGGTTAAAATAGTTTCTATTTAGAATCTAAATCAAGGCTAACCTCCTTGGCAGTACCACAAACTCAGATATAGTCTGACTTACTTTTTTCTGTATCAGAGGCAATACTGTTTTTCTACGTTTCTTTCCCTTTCCTTTCTTTGAGCATACAGAAAGACTGCATTTCCCAGTGTTCCTTACAGTTAGGTAGGGACATGTGACTAGGCCTGGATAATGAGCTTAATTCCGAGGGATCTGAGTCACTTCTGGGTCAGAGGATAAAAGAGAGATGTAAGTTTTTTCTCTTGCCCTGCTCTGCTTATCATAGAAGCTCCATATCAAGATGGCACAGCTCAGCGTGGTACTGATACAAAAACAGACTCATAGATCAATGGAACAGAAGAGATAACCCAGAAATAAGGCTGCACGCCTACAACTATCTGATTTTCAACAAACCTGGTGAAAACAGGCAATGGGGAAAGGATTCCCTATTCAATAAATGGCACTGGGAGAAGTGGCTAGCCATACACAGAAGACTGAAACTGGACCCCTTCCTTATGCCACATACAAAATTAACTCCAGATGGATTAAAGACTTGGCAAAATTCATAACTATGAAAACCTTGGAAGACAACCTAGGCAATACTATTCAAGACACAGGCGCTGGCATTTCATGAGGAAGACAACAAAAGCAATTGCAACAAAAGTAAAAATTGACAAATGAGATCTAATTAATTTAAAAGAAAATGCTGCACAGCAAAAGAAACTGCCCTCTCTAACCTGCTTATAACCCCTCACACCCCTTTCAGATCTGGACCTTAGCCACATTAGTAAAAGCCCCAGGCCACTCTCTAGAACAGCACTTCTCAACTTAGGTTCTCCTGAGACTCACCTGGGTGATGGTGGAACTGTTGATTCCGTAGGCTCATTTCCTACCCTCACTCCCAGAGATTCTCAGTCAGGGCTAAGTTGGGGCCCAAAATATTTATAATTTTTTACTGAGAATCAGGTGATTCTCATGTAGGTTCTCTATCAATACTTCAAGAAAGAATTATCCAGACTCTCCACCTCTATGGTACCTAGGATTCATGTAGTGTCTCGTTAAAATGCACGTTTTGATTCTCTGTAGGTCTAGGATGGGACTTAGTTCTAGCATTTTGAAGAGGTTCCCAGGTGATGCGAAGCCCAGTGGTCCACTCCCAACACTTAAGGTGGGAAGCTTTTAAAATCCAGGTGCCCCAGTGGCATCACAGATCAGTTGATTCAGAAACTGGGGGAGTGGCACCCACCCTCAGTATGTGTGTATACCTCCACAGGTGACTCCAATCCACGATACGGCCCGAGGCCTCCAGCCCCAGTGGCCACTTTCAGGTGGCAATGGTAGCTTCTAACTCAAGGACTTCCACTAGGCACAGATAAGCAGTAACTAATATCTCAAAAAAAGGGATGACTGACTTCAAAGAAGTGAAATTTACAGCAAATAAAACCTGGGTATGACTATGATATTTTCTATTTAACAAAATCATTGTTGCAGTTGTTTACTTTTACTTGCCTCCAAGGGCACTTGAATTACCCCTAAATGTATTATTTCCCGATAATTAAAAACTATTGTGGGTAGGCTTTATTATGCTTTTGTCATTGAGAATCAGAATTTATTCTGATATACTTTTTTCTTTCTAAACTGCTGGGTAGTGGTTCAGTGACATAGCTGGACTGTCCTCTGTGTCTTGTAGGTTAATGATAATTGGAATGTGAAGAACATCCATCTGGGCACTCACATACCCAGCACAAGTACCCTCCAATTTCCTTCAAATTTCTCCAACTGAGTGCTGCTGTATGGTCAGGAACTACCTCACATATTCTGAGTGTTTGTTCTGCCCCAACCTGAAATCCAGGTTCCAAATCTGTTGTTTCTTTCACCGAATGATTAACAAGGAAATAATTTATGTAACTAAATTCTGATTTCTATAGCTCTCACCTGTTTTTGTGGCAGCTTCAAAGAAGGATTCTTCTGGGACATTTGGTTACAGGATCCAAACTTCTTTTCTTCTATTCCTGATTATTAAAGGGGGTAAAATATATGGAAAGTATTTTGTAAACTGTATTGTGCTTGGTCCTCTTACTTTTGACAATAGCAAGTATTTAGGAGATGTTTTCTGAGATAATCAGGAGTGGCATTTGGTCAGATAATCAAAACAATTAACTGAAATAAGGAATCATTTTAAAATGATGAAAACTATCAAAATACTATATTTTAGTGCAAAAGAGTTGTAGGCAGAGCTGACATTTGGCCAGCATGCACTGCCCATAGCTACATAATTGCTTAAATGTGAGCATCTTTTCTGATGGGACAAACATTTGTTCTGCTTGGTCAATGTCAAAACCTTACCAGTTAATAGAGTATTTGGATATAATCCCACTTTTTGAGTTTATATTCATCAATCTTTTGACACAGAATCAAGATCCTCTTTTTCAGAATGGATCTTCTGATAGCAATTCATTCTTCCATAAACCACAGTCATTATATTTTATCCTTAATTTTCAGTTTCAGGGTTTTTTTTTTAATTGCTCAGTGAGAATTAAAAATAACTTTCTATACATAATGAAGACTTCCATATGTTTATGATTCAGCCTAGAGATTCCCCCAATCTTCCTTCTTTTTTTTTTTTTAGATGGAGTCTCACTCTGTCACCCAGGCTGGAGTGCAGTGGCACCATCGAGGCTCACTACACCTCCACCTCCTAGGTCCAAGCAGTTCTGGTGCCATAGCCTCCCAAGTAGAGCTGGGATTACAGGTGCCCGCCACCATATCTGGCTAATTTTTTGTGTTTTTAGTAGAGACTGGGTTTCACCATGTTGGCCAGGCTGGTCTCAAACCCTGATCTCAGGTGATTCACCCACCTCAGCCTCCCAAAGTCCTGGAATTACAGGTGTGAGCCACCGTACCCAACCCCACCTAATCTTTTAGAATATTTCACCTACACCTCATTTAATGGCAATTTTAAAATCTCACCAAAATGAATCTTGACAAGCATTCAATCTAATTGTGATAGAATCAACAACAGCATACTCATATTCTATGGGTTTCATAATAGCTAATTGAATTATGTAATTATAAGAACTAGCACAGCTGTCATGAAACACAGGGAAACAAACACAACTGATCCTGATAAGCATAATTCAAGTGGTGGGAGCCGAAGTTTGCTGGCATTTAGACTAGAATTTAGCCTACTAGTCCTAAGGGTTTAGTCTACCGGGGAACTTTTTATTAAGTAGAAATACATGAAAATGCTGGTTATTCTAGCATTTCTTGACCCACAAAACCAGCGATTTAATATGATTCAACCAGTATGTTTTATAGAGTGATGACAAGCTGGTCTGGTGAGTTAGTTAAATGCAGGTCAGCTAAGGCTGCTTCTATTATAATATTCAAAGAGCAGAGCTGTTTTTCAACATCGTGCTTCCTCTTTAAGTGTTTTGAACTGCACTTATTAATGGTGCTTATTCTTCTGCCAAGCATTTTACAAAGAATTTTCCTGTAACCTCAAAAGAAAAGTCCCCACAACCCCGCCAAATATGCTATGGTTGAATAGGTTTGGGAAACACTATATACCATAGCCACCTAGAAGATTCATAATGATCATTAGCATATTAAAGGCTCTGAGAAGTCCTGTAGCAAAGCCTTTGTTTAACTCTGTTTACCTTAGAGTTTCATAATTTATTTCACAAAAGTAGGCCGTTTCATGTAACATCTAATCCTGAAGAGCTAATGTTTAATGAAACAACCACACTTTGGTAAACACTACTCAACCAGCATTAAGGAAAGTATTATTCAGACTTTGTAGTAGATTAAACAAATATCATCTTAATATCTGTTAGAAACAGCACAATTTGTGCAGGTGTCCCAAAGCACTATACAAATTTCATTTCGTGGTAATGTTCCCCCCTTGTACAAATAGAAAAACAAAGGTATAAAGAGGCATTAGATTGCTTGCCAGAATACACACAAGATTGAGACAAACTGGAACCAAGGCCCACATGTCCTAACAATGATTTCTCATCTGTGTTTACAAACAGAACCAAATTGCAAATTGTAGCCACTAGCCACTTAACTATTGAAGAGTTAAGGTAAAAAGTATACTCCTTGAGCCAGAAAGAGCAAATAAGACTGGGGAACTCTAGGAGAATGTAACATTGGCTGTTTAGTTGCTGGTGACTTTCATCAATAATTGAGAGCAGGGACTCTAAAATTTCCAACAGCTACAGGGATTCAAAGATTGGCTGTCTTAGCTCAAAAGCTTCTTGAAGAAAACATGACATGAATATTTGGCTCTCTGTTGGAGAGATTCCGACCTTGAGAGAATGAATCTCAGTCATCTAGAAGGTTAAATAGATTTATGTGTTCTGATGCTCGTTAGAGTAATGGGTGTTTCCCAGCATTTTAGAATTGCATGCTACGTGACATGCTAATAACTTTTACAGCATGCCTGCCCATTCCCTCTGCCTGGGTGGGAGGTGTGGAGCGGTGATGTGAGACTTAACAGTCAGATTTATAGACGTCTTTGCTCCATAAGTGTTATCTTTGAATACACTCCCACACCACAGGGCCTCATTGCCTCTGTCACAAACAATATCTGTTATTTCAGAACACTGCAATGCTTACCTCAAGGCCAAGCGAGAGTTGTCAAATAAAGATGAAGAGCCTTTTGGCAAAAAAATAAAAAATAAAAGAGTGCTCTTAAAATGTTTACCTTCTCATACCTAATGGTTTTAGATCATATCTTATTAGTCTAGGAGACCATTATATAAAGTACAATTAAGATCTCCTTGACATTTTCTAGGAGTTCCAATTCAGCTTTGCTAATAGCTATAACTTCATTACTTTCTTTTTTTAAAAATGTAATGCCACACAGTGTTGGAAATGCAGTTTACAATAATGTGGATACCCAGGGTGCACTTGCAGTAATTACACAGAATGTCAACAGCCTCTCAAGCTGGGTCCTGCGCTGATTGCTTTTTGTGACATTCTAGTTTGGGCAACTTGTTGGAATTACTCTTCTACCTGCAGGCTCCTTCTTCTCCAAGACTATGCAATAAGTGTTCTCCAAACTTTTGGTTTGATCCCTTCTATTGAGTTTTATAGTACCCAAATTATAGGAAGAAATTTGAGCTAGGCATAAGAATAGAATAATTGTTCGCATAGCCAGTATCCCACCCAGACAATCGGCAACTTTTGTTTTTTTGCTTTGGTTTGGTTTTACTGAGACAGAGTCTCTCACTTCATCAACCAGGAATGGAGTGCAGTTCTGTGATCCTGGTTCATTGCGACCTCCGCCTTCCTGGTTCAAGCTATTGTCAGGCCTTGGCCTCCTGAGTAGCTGGGATTACAGGCACGTGCCACCACACCTGGCTAATTTTTCGTGTTTTTAGTAGAGATGGAGTTTCACCATGTTGACCAGTCTGGTCTTGAACTCCTGACCTCAAGTGATCCACCTGCCTCGGCCTTCCAAAGTACCGGGATTACAGGCAGCAACTTTTCTTCAAGAAATATCTATTGAGCATCTGTTATATTCAGCCCCATTCTAGGCACTGAAGACACCAAGCTGAATAAGTCTCTTGCTGTCATTTGCATGTGTTGAAGTAGGAGGATTCAGACACATCTTTCCACACATGGAAGGATTTCTGCACAGAAAAGACGTCCCGTAAGGGTTAAAAGTTGAACCATAAAGTTCTATGCCCTACCCTTTTCCCTTTACATTCTTTCCTCTGTGGCCTTGTGCTCTCCAGACCTCTCATTATCAGTAGGCTTAATGTGGCTCGCTATTTGGTAAATAAGCAAATAGCTAACATTTATGGAGTGCCCACTCTCTACCAGTTCTATTATAGCCTCTTCTATATACAATTCATTTCATCCTGACAATAAATCTATATGGCAGATATGATTATCTACCTTTTTAGATGTGAGGAAACTGAGGCACAGAGAGATTAAGTGTCTCACACCTAATGAGTGGAGAATCTGAAGTCTGAACCTTGATTATTTGCAGTCAAAGACCCTGCCACTGCTCTGCCATTAGGAGGGAAGTCCTGATAAGGAATCGTGATGGTAAATTAAACAACATAGTCCCCAGAATGCGACTAATGCGTGTCATAAAACCAGGATAGCTGAAAATAAACAGGGTCTGGACAGAAATAGAAGCAAGACTTTTCTCTTACTACATCTGCTTAAGTACTTATGGCACCAGTTCCTCTGAACTGAGGAATAAGGGCTAAAACAAGAACAGCCCTGTTTGTGATCTGCTATTGTTCGAAACATACTAAGGCTTAGGTTAACTGCTCGGTGTAGCTACGTTGCCACCATAGGAATGGGGCATTCCGTTGAACTAACTGATTTTGTTCTATTTATAAAGTCCTGAAATAAAGGGATGTTTTTCAGAATTATTAAAGTAGAAGCCTGAGCAGGTAAGCTGAGCCCCACCTCACGTCTGCTGCCAGAGCTCAGCGGTGTGAAGCGGGCAGATGAGAAAAGTCACACCTCTTGCAGAATCCAATTAAATCAGACTCCTCCATTTTCCTTGTATGACATACTATTTTGATAATAAATTAAAAACAGGAAGCCAAAAGAGGGTTCAAATTACCTTATGCTCCCAGCATACTAAGGGAGGATGCACCTTTGGGAATGCCTGAAGCAGTTATTTCTGAGACACTCATTATATTTCAGTCAGTTTGGAATATGGGAAGAAGGAGTCAGTGAGCTGACAGGTTAACTGCTCAGGTTAGCACTAGATCTCAGAAAGTGCTACACCAGACACGGGGAGGTGTTATGCCACTGATCACAGAGATACCCTTCCTGTTACCCAAGAAGCACAGTCATGCTCAAGGCCAGGATCGCTGGGGTGAGGTTTTTCTCTTTACAGTATCGATCATATTTTTCACTTGCTTGACTGGTCAAAGAACAGGTTTGGTCCTGTCACTAGATGTCTCCAGGGTTAAATGGGAAAGAATTATAAAACAGTTGTGCTTATTTGAACGGGTTTCTGTTTCATTCTCATTGTCTGTGAATAAACTTTATTGTATGCTGTTTATGTTCCTTTCAAGCTACTTAATTATCTTCTTTTTCTGACTCCAAGTCCATTTGAGACTGGCTGAAATAAGTTCCATCTTTTTTTCTGATTTTCTTGACCACCGAATTAGTTTTGGTCATGCTTTCAATATTGTCATGCTACAAGATATTGGTTATAAAACTTTTGCATATTGCTATAATGTGTTGACTAAAAAACTTAAGAATGCTCTATTAATAGATTTGAAAGAGTATAGCATACAGAAGGCAGATGAAATATGTTTGAAATTTTTTTTCCATGTATTTATACGAGAGGCTTTTTTTTCTGTTTCATTATACTACCTATAGCTGGCTCTACAATCTTAAATCTATGCTGAACACTGAGCATATAAAGTTTTAATGCAACCTCCTAAACTTTCTGTAAATTCATCGTATGTGGATATATTTATGGTATTAAAAAATGAAAATGTGGGGTCTTCTTATGGATGAAAAAAATTGTCCTCAAGTATTCATTCAGGTGAGAGGGATTAACTGAGACTAAGTTGTTAACCATTTCCTCTTGAGTATAGAGTATGAAGGACAAATAAACAGGTAAAATAATAAGAAGAATATATGTCACAGCATAAATTAGATGTGCTATGATAGTGTTCATGAGGAGATATGACAATATATAGGTATAAGTTTCTCAAAAGAAACAGATCGCACTGAAAAAAAGAACGAAAGAACTGAGCAAAAGAAAAGTTACAACATTTGTTGTTTGTCAAAACTTGTTGACCGATACAATTAAGAGCTGTGTATTTTACTGTATGCCAGTTATTTTTTTAAAAATTATGCATTATTTAGAAACTTGTGAAATGGTGGCTAGAAGCACATTGGTGAGCATTTTAGTGACACTTAAAAATTTTTATTTATTTAAAGTAATATCTAGTAAAAAGGACTATTGGATGCACAGTTGTTTGACTCCTAACACATGGACAGATATATCACTCCCCTAAAACTTCCTCATGCTATCCATTCCTGTCACACTTTCCCCCTACCTTTAATCCTTGTAAATCACAGATCTCTTCCCTATTTACATAGGTTTGTCTTTTGTAGAATATCACATAAATGAAATCACACCACATGCAACATTTTGAGACTCATTTATTTCACTCAGTGTAAGATTAATGCAAGCTTCTCCGTGTTTCTATAGTTTATTCCTTTTTTAAACTTTTATTTTAAGTTCAGTATTATAAGTTGACTTTTGTTACATGGGTAAACTTGTGTCATGGGGGTTTGTTGTACAGATTCTTTCGTCACCCAGGTATTGAGTCTAGTACCCATTAGTTGTTTTTCTTTATCCTCTTTCGTTTCCCACCCTCTGCCCCTCAAAAGGCCCCCCAGTGTGCTTCATTCCCCTCTATGTGTCCATGTGTTTTCATTGTTTAGCTCCCAATTACAAGTGAGAATATGCAGTATTTGGTTTTCTGTTCCTGCATTAGTTTGCTAAGGATAATGGCCTCCAGCTCCATCTAAATCTCTGCAAAAAACATCATCTCATTCTTTTTTATGGCTGCATAGTATTCCATGGTGTATATGTACCACATTTCCTGTATCCAGTCTATCAGTAAATGGCATTTAGGTTGATTCCATGTCTCTGCTATTGTGAATAGTGTGTATTCCTTTATATTGCTGTGCAGTAGACCGTGCATTGTTTAGATGTACAATTCATTTATCTATTCAGTCATTTAAGGACATTTCAATATTTTATAGTTTGGAGCAGTTGTGAATAGAGAAACTACACTCATTAGTTTATAGATATTTGTGTGACCATGAGATCTTTATTTCTTTAGGTTAAATATCTGGGAGTGAGATTGCTGTGTCATATATAAGTGTATGTTTAACTTTATTAAAAACTTCAAATTGTTTTCCAGAGTGGCTGCGCCATTTTGCATTCCCAATAGTTCAGTTGCTCTTTATCCTTGCCAGCATTTGATATTATCAGGGTTTTTAAAAAGTTATTTTAGTCATTCTACTAGATATGTACCGGTAGCTCATGGTGCTTCAATTAGTGTTTCTCTATTGATAATGATATTGAAGATTTTAAAGGATTCTGAAGGTTAGCATTCTTACATGCTAACAAGTTAGCCTAGTACAGTTTCATAAATGCTGACAAAAGACATGAGATTCCTGGGTCAGAGATGAAGGATGGTGATTATGCACAATAGTACCAGTAGCTAGAATAGCTGCATTTGTCTCAGTTCTCTAAGTCTCATTTCTACAGGGTGTCATGAAGAGGGGCAGGTGACACCTGTGTATGCAGTTGATTGAATTATAATAGAGGAATCCTAAACTTAGATAACTCAAATATTTATAATGGGCAAGAAGCCTGCTTACCCCTACTGTGAAGGGGGACGCCATATCTGTCTTCCAAGGCTGTCTGCTACACAAACATCCTGAAAAAATTGAAACAAAGGCCACCAGTGCTTCTGGTTCAATGGTGGGGGATAGCAGATAACAAGATTCTTGTTCTCATGGGGAGAGATTGCAATATAAAAGAAAAACTGAGGAGGAGAGGTCCTAGAGAAATTTTGCCAATAGAATGTTGTTAAAATAACCCAGTGTGAAGTGATGGAGAGTGACCAGGGTTAGGGCAGTCAAGAAGCGAAGACCAGATGGGTGTGACATGGAGGCATTGAAACAAAGAAACAGGATTTACAACATTAACTAAAGAGGAGAGAAAAGAAAGCACCACTCCCAAGCTGCAAGTTTGTTTTAAATAAAGTTTTATTTATAAAGTTATTTTAAACTTTATTTTTAATTAAGTTTTTATTTTTATTTTATTTATTTATTTTGAGACAGAGTTGCCCAGGGTGGAGTGCAGTGGCGTGATCTGGACTCACTGCAACCTCCACCTCCCAAGTTCAAGTGATTCTTCTGTCTCAGCCTCCCAAGCAGCTGGGATTACAGGCATGAGCCACCATGCCTGCCTAATTTTTGTATTTTCTGGGATTACAACTGTGAGCCACCATGCCTGTCTAATATTTGTATTTTTGTATTTTAATTTTGTATAGACGGGGGTTTCACCATATTGGCCAGGCTGGTCTCAAACTCTTGACTTCAGGAGTTTGAGATTGTAATCTCTCCCCAAGACCACACCTTGGTCTTCCAAAGTGCTGGGATTACAGGAGTAAGCCACCAGGTCCGGCCTAAGTTTTATTTTTAAATAAAATAATTTTTACAAAATAAATGTTTTTCAGTCATGTTATGCATTCAAAATTGGTACTAAAGTCATAAAAATATGATATTACTGTGTATTCAAACAAAAGGTATTTTGCAGTTCTATCTCAAAAATTAAACTCTTCTGTGACTTTGAAGAAATCACTTCTTTTTTAAAGTTGTATTTTCCCATGCAAAATTGAGGCGAAAATGTGTGTTTCTATTCCTTTCACGGGAAGATTGTAGCTCATTCAGGTAAGGGAAGCGAACTTTCAGCATGGAGTGAAAGTTTCTCTTTCAGCTTTAGGAGAATCTTTAAAATGAGAAGTATTTGCTTTTTGTAAAAACGTCAATGTTTCCAGCTGGAATTAATTCTCAAAAGTACAGCACATGGTTCAGGGGCATTGGCTCCAAAAATCTGGTGGAAAAAGGCGTGAGTTGATGAAGGATGGGAAGAAACCGATTTCTCTTTGAAAACAGTGGCAATGGCAGTGGTTTCTCCCTTGAAAAATAAGCATTTGAAAAAAGTTTCACATGATTCTCAAAGCAATATTCTGCTTAGCTAGGAATTTCTGTTAATATCATTTAGGAAATTGGGTCTCAAAAGGCTAGGGACTGCCCAGGTTTACGCCAAGATTGGCAACCTGCAGAGCTAGATTTTTAACTAGGTTCTCCTCCTAAAAGGCTTTCCACCCCACCATAAATGCCTTCTTCCCTGCAAAAGGGGCCACATTGTTTCTTGTAGACCTCAGAGGAGAGGCAAGGTGTTTGCCTCCTGAACGTACACGTTACTGTTCTGTTGTATTTTGTAGTCTCACTTTTGCTCCTTGGAACATCTCTTTGGTATTCCTGTGGGATCTCTCTCTACAGCATTCTACTTTATGTAATGATCTGTTCAATAAAGTAATTTTTAAAAGGAGACAACACCACCACAGGTGATCTGGAGGCTTCTGGAGGACCTCAGTGACTCAGGTCCAGTCTAAGGAGGGCCATAGATGAGGCTGAAGAAGGATGGATCTACATGCTTAGAGGAGATTCAGAAATGCTGTTCATTTGGGTCCATCGCACTCGTCTGCCCCAATGAGTCTGAAGAACCAGGATCCCAAAGAAATCTTGTCAGTTTGGCTAAGCCCTATTTGAGAATAATTTTCCAGGGAAGGGATCATCATACTACTTCTTTGCATAGAATGCCGCGCTAGAAAACAATTCTTCTGATGAATGCAGGTCTGTTTAAATTCCTACTTTGGGCCAGATACTCTGCATTGTACGTTACCTTGTTTAACCCTCCCAACCACTCAGCAAGACAGATATTATTTTTCTCCTTCTATAGAGGAGAAAAGGGAGACTCAGAGAGGTAAAGCATTATTGCCAGCTGCTAAGTGTTATTGCCAAAATGTGAGCATGGATCCGCCTAGTTCCGGAGCCTACATTCCTTCCGCCATACCATATTGTCTCGCGTCAGCTGTTACAGAACGGGCGTGCCAGGTTAGCAGTGTCAAGATAAAGGATAATTCTCTCTTTTGCTCATGACATTTCCAGCATTACCTGCCTGGCTTCCCTGTTCTTAAGTACCCAATCTATTCTCCTGGGCTTTAGCAGAACCTGATCCTGAAAGGCACAAACATCTTAGACAAGTCTCAGCAAGCTGGCACCCCGGGATGTTCTGTGGGTGAATAACCCTGCTCACAGGACAGGAAAAGGACCCTGGGACCATGCTAAAATGGAATCTGATTTTCACTGGTGGGATGCGCGGCATTTCTAAGGTTTGTCTGACCTCTGGTGAAATGCCCCTTCTAGAGTTCATTGTAACAATACTTAGAGAAAATTCTGAATCCCGACAGTGGACTCGCCTGTGCCCAGTCAGTTGTTCCTCTTTTTTGCTACATGATAACCATTATTTCCTTCTTTCCTGCTCTGGGTCCCCGCAGAGACATCCATTGACTACGTCAGTTACATTGCCAATGCCTCCAGAGGCTTTCTCACTGCTGCCTGCTGATTATGCCCGCACTGCAGCCACGGCTGCTCAAAATGATGGTCCCAAGGCTACTAATGTACGGGACACGAATTTTTCTGGAAGGCTGGCACCATCTTCCAGAACTCCCAGCAAAGTGTTTCCCCTTGCCAATGCTGCTAGAACAGAGCTGCCACTTTGTGCTCTTAATATCCAGGCAAATTCAGTGAATTTCTCCCGATCTCTTTTTTTCTTCTGTTATTTATATTGTCATACTATCCCTTTTGACCAAGGACTCCTTAGGAGCTAAGCCAAATACCCAAGTGGCAGACATGGTGTGGTTCTCACAATCTCTTCTCCCTCTCTAACCTCGGACCTGTGTCCTCAAGTCATGCTCTGGCACTAAATATGAATTTTTCCTAGGATTCCCCCTGGTCCTTCACTCAGCCTTAAAGGACTTCCTTCTGTGACCCTACAGGTATGTCCATATCAGCTGGTTCCTAAGGGCACACAACATCTCTGGATTTAGAAATATGTATGTGTATGTATATATATGTATATCCTCATAAAGTTAATTACATTTCATGTTTCATATTTCTGTTAGGCAGTCAATAACATTCTCAATAGGGTTGTTTCCAGTATCTTTGAATAATAATAGTTAATCTGTGTTTATCTCCTCCTATATACAAGGCACCATAGTAAATGTTTTACAGACATTGTCTTATTCAATACTCTCAATATTGCAAGGTGGGAGGTGCTTTTGTTGTCTTAGTTTTGCAGATGAAGAAACAGATGCCTCAAGAAAGTAACTACCTACCCAAGATCACATACAGAGCTGAGTCTCTAACTCCAGCTCTCCGCCTCCAAAGCCTGTAGGGTGAAGCTTGGTCTCCTTTCATGACACTGGAAGGACGCCTGTTACTGTGGCTGTGCATGAAGTCTGCAAGGGGATCTTCTACATTGTTTAATTTCGTTAATATTGCTTTTAAGTGGGCATCATTGTGTCTAATTATTTTTTTTTCTAGGCTCAGCTTAGTCTGTCTCGATTTACATCCTTTTTTAGAACAACATTTTGTTAAAGAAAATATTTCATAAGGACGCTCACAGAGTAACATTCTAAAAGATGTGGTCTTTCCAGACTTTTCTATCCAATTTGCCCCCATTTTGATGAAATATGCTGGAAAAACTTCTTTGGATTAAAATTGCCCTTTTAAAAATCACAGACAAATCTGGGCAAATAGCAAAGCATTATTTTTCTTTTGGTTACAGTAGAAACCCCAAGACAACTAGAATTGCTTTGCTCAGGAGCCCTGTCGGGGAACATTCATTGTAGGATTCAAAAGGGACTGCTGCCCCCTTTAACCTGAGCCAGGAACAGGAAGGGCCGCAGCTCCACTGCCCAAGTCTGCAAATCTTCTGGCCTGTTGTTCGGCGCAAGGTGTGTGTTAATCATTCACCTCAAGGATTTCTTAAAGAGTATTTATTCCCAAAATAGAGATGTGGAAGTCGGCCTATACCACTGGGCAATAATTCCATCTCCTGTAACTTTCCCATAGGGGTAAATCTAATCAATGTCACTGTTGTTGAAATTATACAAGCAAACCAACTACAGTGTGGAATTTCCCTCCCACCACTCCCTCCCTCTTGTTTTCATGTACTTTGTAACCTGAGGAGAAGTTTCCATGAGGAAGCAGAGTTTATGTTGAAGTTACTGAGTGATGTATGGGAGATCTCAAACACAAGAGCTGCCTTTAGACGTTAAAAAGAATAAAACTCTCTTGTGCCCACGATGGACTTGGGCAAGTAGAATGCTCAATGTTTTCCTTTGCAGAAACATTGATCCCCTCACGTGGGGATCTTACAAGATACCCACTGTGCTCTATTCTGATGCCCCTGTGGCCACAGAGCGGCCTAAATTGCGTGGCCCAGGAGGGATTTTTATCCCTTGCAACGACGCTCATTCATGATTGTGTGGGCAGCACACTTTGCTTTATTTGGGAAAAGATTTCCTAATGTAGTGATGCCTGCCTAAATATAAGCTGTCTTTGCACACGTGAAACAAAATGGAGATTTGACTTAATGATCTAGTAACTTTGGTTAGTGCTTCAATTTAGAAAGAAAAGTGAGTAGGCTTTTCTTTGGTTTTTCTATAGTAATTTCTTCAAAGCCAAGAAACTTTGCATTTGTAATTATACCTAGAATTAAAGTTGTTGAAGCTTCTATTCTCAATTCCATCTTTGTTCAAGATTGCTTATTTTTTATCTTTTCCATCTCAACCATATTCTGAAAATTAGCACAATCTTGTGAACATTTCTGAACCACAACATTTAACAGAATTGAATCAAGAAAAAAATATTTCACCCAGCAGACAGATGATGCTTACACTTATTTACTCTCTGACAAAATTATCTGAAACCTAACTCAGGATTTAATTTTCATGGGGGTTCCACAATGCAGGGGTTGATAGCAGTGTCCTATTCAATCCTTCAGGCTCAGCCCTTTCCTCTCAGTGGACCTCAGTGGCACTGAATCAGGTTAATCAGAATCCTTGATGCAGAATATAGCGCCTCTTTGATCATTCATTCATTTATGCAGGTATCTGTTTTTCACAATTCAGTAAGCACCTACAAATTTACCATCCAACATGAAGCCTGGGACCTTGACAATCACTTCCATCTAGTTACATGGCCATTCCTCTTCCAATCTTCTTGCTTCTCCACCCAAGGTAGCCATCGTCCTGAATCACAGGTCTCTGGTTCACTTACTTCCTTTGAATATAGTTAGCTCATCTGTACGTATTCCTCAAAAGTAAATATTTTTAGTTTAGGTGCTTTTAGTTTAGGAATAACTATTATTTTACCAAAAGAATGACTATTATAAAAAGGGCTTGTGCTATATGTAATATTCTGAGTCTTTTCTTCCTCCATTTAATAAAACATTTTAAGATTCATCTATTTTCAAAAAAGATTTAATTTTGAGGGTCTTGCTTTGGGTACTGGCTCTCAAGCTCATAGGATGCATTGAATTCCATTTAATCTTTATCTCCGGAGCCAAACTGGTTCCAAATTGAGGAGAAATTCTGATCATAAACACAGTCTACTTCCCTAGAGATTCCTGCATCCATTACACCGGGGACGTTTTCTTTCTTTTATGCATGAGGTGGATCTCATAAAGGGGATTGGGGGGCTGCTAAGGTGGGATATTGAGTCCCTTGTTTATCTTGAGTAGGCATCATGTGCTGGGTTCAGTTTCTGACACTGGAAAATACAGGTTGTCTGAATGAATAGGTAAACGCTAAAACCATCTAGAGCAACAATGACTGATTTGTGTAATTTGTTAGATTTTGCCTGTTGGCATTTTTATTCTCAGATGAATGGTTGTGTTGTTAGGTGGAGGCTGTTGCTCCCTTTGGGAGATATTAATCCTGTGGCAATGCTGGAAATGGTACTAGCTTACAGTTACGGGCTGCTCCAACGTTTCTGGCCTGGTGCTATGTGCTGTATATGCAATGCGATTGCTCATTGCATCCTTTCCACAACCATACAAAGCTGAAGTAAGTGCTATGGTTACCCTCATTTACAGATGAGAGGTTTGAGTCACAGAGAGGCACTTAAAGTTTTGAGTGCATGCTGAATTCGGTCTATGGAAATGGTGAAACAGAAGAAAAAGGAAACTAACGTATTCAGGTCCTGGAACATCCTTGGCACATTGTAAAGTGTTAAATTTAAACCGAAAGAACACCTAGAGGAAGGAACTCTAACTCTAGGCAGGACCAGTAGGGTCCTGAGAAATCAAATTATTTGCTAAGTATACTGAGCTAGAAAATGAAAGTAACAGAGAGAAATCCAGGATTCCTCAGAATCTATCTATCTGAGATAAATGAGGGACCCAATTAACAGCCCCCCAGTACCCTGTGTGTAATTTCACCTTAACCATAGAGAGAAAAATGAAGTCTCTGGTGTAATTGATTTCATCTTTATTCAAAATTGCTTAGTTTTTATCTTTTCCATTTCAAATATATTATGAAAATTAGTATAATCATGTGAACATTTCTGAACCACATCGTTCAATAGGATTGAATCAATAAAAAAAAATATTTCACCTAGCAGTTTTTGACATTTGACAGAGGATGTTTACATTTATTTACTTTCTGAGAGAATTACCTGAAATATATAAATCTAACTCAAGATATAATTTTGAGGCTCTTGCTTTGGGTTCTGGGGGTGGGCGTCCAGGAGTTGTTCTTGATTTTGACAGATGATGCATACAATCATAAATTTCTCTTCTGTTTGAACCAGGTTGTCTATAAAGTTTAACTAAGATTTGTATTCCTTTCCTAGGCTGCTGTAATAAAGTACCACAGGCCGGTGCAGAGAATCACCAGGAGGAGGAGGTTGCAGTGAGCCGAGATTGCACCATTGCACTCCAGCCTGGGCAACAAAGCTAGACTCTGACCTCCCCTCCTAAAAAAAGTACCACAAACTAGATGGCAACAGAAGTTTACAGTCTCACAATTCTGGAGTCTGAAAGTCTAAAATCAAGGTGTCAAGAGTTAGTTTCCCTGAGAGGGACAGGTCTCTCAAAGGCCTTTCCCCTTGAGCTTGTAGATGGCTATCTTCTCCTTATTGTTTCTCCCTATTTCTGTGTCCAAGTTTCCCCTTTTTATAAAACCACCAGTTATATTGGACCTGAGCTCATCCTAAAGGCCTCATTTTAACTTGATTACCTCTGTAAAAATCCTATCTGTCAATATGGTCACATTTCCAGGTACTGGGTGTTAAGATTCCAACATGTCTTTTTTGGGGCAGGGTCGCAATTCAACCCATAACAATTTAATCTCAGACTCTTCAGAAATGAGATGTATTAGGCCCGTTGTGGAGCCCAGGATTCTGGATGCTTATAAAGCATCCTGTTTGGCATTTAATCCTGAGGATCACGTGTGGTTGAGAACCAACCTTGGGCTGATGAATGAAAACAAGAAAAATCAACACAGGATGTGCCTGACCCTAGACAGTGTAACTTGTAATATTGACTTTCTCTCCTAGCTGAGAGGTGTTCTGCGTCTCTCCTACACGTGTGACTCCAGGAAGGAAAAGGACACCTTGCCGGGTGTCCCCATCCTGAACTTCTATTCCCATTGACTGTGGCCATCCCTCTACACTCTGGAGCAGTGCTGAAGTGAGTTTCTATTGCAATCAAAGGAGCTCTGCTGATCTGCTGCTTAAAGCAGGAAGGTCTGAATGGGTTTCTCTCCTTATATTCCTCAGATCCCACACCGTAACCACTAGTTTCCATACTGCTTATGCTTTTGAACAGGATATTACATTTTACCTAGTTGGCATGGGAGAGAAATGTAATTTTTTTTTTTTTTTTTTTTTTTGAGACGGAGTTTCGCTCTTGTTACCCAGGCTGGAGTGCAATGGCGTGATCTCGGCTCACCACAACCTCCGCCTCCTGGGTTCAGGCAATTCTCCTGCCTCAGCCTCCCGAGTAGCTGGGATTACAGGCACGTGCCACCATGCCCAGCTAATTGTTTGTATTTTTAGTAGAGACGGGGTTTCACCATGTTGACCAGGATGGTCTCGATCTGTTGACCTCGTGATCCACCCGCCTCGGCCTCTCAAAGTGCTGGGATTACAGGCTTGAGCCACCTCGCCTGGCCGAAATGTAATTTTTTTTTTTTTTTTTTTTTTTGAGACGGAGTTTCGCTCTTGTTACCCAGGCTGGAGTGCAATGGCGCGATCTCGGCTCACCGCAATCTCCGCCTCCTGGGTTCAGGCAATTCTCCTGCCTCAGCCTCCCGAGCAGCTGGGATTACAGGCACGCACCACCGTGCCCAGCTAATTTTTTGTAATTTTAGTAGAGACGGGGTTTCACCATGTTGACCAAGATGGTCTCGATCTGATGTAATTTTTAAACATTGTTTCTAATTTCTAAACACTTCCAAAAATTTACAATGAATATTTTTGTATATGTCTAGTGCATACATGTGAAACTTTAGAAGAGTGAGGTGTGTGCACATGTGGGATCACTGGGTGGGAGATTATGTGCATATTCAGCAATACATGTGTCAAAAAGCTCTTTAAAGTGCTTGTACCAATTTAAATTTCCCTAAGAACTATCTGAGAGTACCACTGTTCTACATCTTCAATCATATTTAATAATTTTTAAATGTTACCAAAAATTTAAATGTTACCAAAGGACATGTGTTTTGTGTAATAAGATTCTCAAAGCTCAGGAGGAAAAAGATAAGGAAGATCTTTGACGCCAAGGTGGTGGTAAATGTTGCATTGTTATCTCAGCTGATAACACTCTTGCTGCTTATTATGGGATGTAGGCCATAATGGCAATGGAGTGAGCAACTGCATAAAGATAAATTTTAAATTCACACCGGTATTAATCACATATCTTAACATGTATTTCTTTAAGATTCATAAAGTTGGGAAGGTCTTCATGCTTTTAGCCAGCGGTTTTCCTCTTTTGTAAAGTGCTTATTCATACCATTCACTCATCTGTATTGGTTGCTTTTTGGTGTTATTCTATAGATGTTATTTGTAAGTTCTGAGTATTAACTCTATAGCAATGAAATGTCTAACATATATGTTTTTACAGCATAGTTTCTACACTCTCTTCGTTGTGATTTCTATTATATTGTTGTGTTAATATAACAAAGTAGAGAAATGTAATTTTGATATCCATCTGATCTGCCATTGTGGGACATGAGGACAGAGGCAGACTCCAGGAGACACCTTTAGTACAGATATTCAGGTGCAGATTTATCTGAAATTATTTTCAATGTTCAAGGACATGTGTTTTGTGTAATAAGATTCTGAAAGCTTACAAAGAAAAAGATAAGGAAGATCTTTGACGCCAAGTTGGTGGTAAATGTTGCATTGTTATCTCAGCTGATAACACTTTTCCTGCTTATTATGGGATGTAGGCTTATTCCTGCCTATTATGGGATTTGGATTATTTTTTGCACACATACGTATGCCCATTTGTGCTTTTAGGAAGGAGAGAGGAGGAGACTGCGACCGTGACAGAGATAAGAGAAACCCTTTAGATGTATTTCCAAGAGATTCCTGGTCTGCTGTTAGAATGAACATAGCTATAATTAAGTCAAAAAAATATTCTGAGAATCTGTAACCCAGGAGGATCTCTGTTTATTTTTATTCCAGGACCCAAGGAGCCATAGGTATTAAAGGTGGGTGATTTCCTAGCAGTGGGAACACACACAGATTCCTAAATCCCCCAAGCCTGACCTCTCGGAGTAACCGATGTTCACTTTCTTGGACCAGGTGTCCTGCATGGAGATCCATCTCTCCCTGGTGATGGACAGGAAAAATCCTCTTTGCTTTTACCTGCAAGCCACTCCCAATGCGGGGTGGTGAGGCTCTACCTTTGAATGTCCTCAATGAAAAACCATATAAAAACACAACCCAGTAACCTTCACATTCACGTGAGACATCAACAGTCCTGGGTGTGTTGATACTTCCCAATCTCAGAGTTCTTTTCTATCTGTTCATAACATTGCTGCCAATATGGATTGTGCCTGTATGACTTTTTGCTTTATGACTCTTGGGTTATAAGGCCTGCTAACTGCCTTAGGAGATATAGAAATAGGTTGAGATTTAAAGGCAAAGGCTCACAGACGAAGTGCTAACAACCACAGGTGTTGATCAGGTGTTAGTGTCCGTATTACTCTGATTCTTCCATCTTCCCACCATCCATGGCTGTCAGTTGTTACCCAAAGATATAACTCAGTAAATTCTGATTTGCCAAGAACTAGCCCATACTTCTTTTTTCTCTCCAAATCTTTCCAGTTTTATTAAGGCAGCTTATTTTAGAGTCTAACTTTTAAGAATTGCCAAAGAGAAGGCAATGTGCAGGTTTTAGTCTTTCAGTTGTTCATTTTAATGCAATTAGCTAAATAAGTTCTTTTTTATATAAAATACATATCAACACATAGTTTCCTGTTCAAAAAATGGTTTCTGTAACTATATAAGTATGGTGATAATTATTGCTTGCTAATAATAATGTAACCATCTTATAAATGTTTGAAAACACTCTAGAATGTAAATTGATTCAGAAAGAGGTATATTGTTCTACTTTCTTTATCAACAAGATAAAAATATTTTTATATTTACCCAGTTTTCCAGCTTTTGATAGCTTTATTCTGTCTTTCTGTCGAATTTCCCCATATTCTCTGATAAGGCATAAGGGTTTATAAAAGAGCCATCAGGGGCTGGGCGCAGTGGCTCATGCTTGTAATTCCAGCATTTTCGGAGGCTGAGGCAGGCAGATCACAAGGTCAGGAGTTTGAGACCAGCCTGGCCAATATGGTGAAACCCCATCTCTACTAAAAATACAAAATTAGCTGGGTGTGGTGGCAGATGCCTATAATCCCAGCTACTCTGGAGGCTGAGGCAGGAGAATCACTTGAATCTGGGAGGTTGAGATTGCAGTGAGCTGAGATCACACCATTGCACTCTAGCCTGGGCAACAAGAGCAAAACTCCATCTCAAAGAAAAAAAAAGCCATGAGTTATAGAAAAAAATTCAGCAATGAGAAATAGTGATGTGTAACTAGCAATATACTAAAATGTGAGGATTTTTATGACATATTTCTGTAGTTATAATATGTTTATCCATCTTGTTTCCTTCTGCACATTCTAAGGAAGAACCATAATTTATTATGCATTAAGGAAATTGCCCATTGTGGGTACAAAAAGAATGTACATGCATTTTTATCTATCCCACAGAAAAGAACCTAATTTTGAAGGGGATTATATTATTTATAAATAAACTGTATATTAGATTTCCCTAAGGGGTATTTTTGATAACAAACACCACTCCATTCCAGATCCAGGCACACAGCCCTGAAGATACATTTAAAAAAATTCAGTCTTGGCATAGATTGTGATGAGCTGTAACTATTGAACGAAAGTAAAATTTCCAAATATACTAAATGTAGGAAGAGCATCACTAAATTCATAGAAGGAAAAATATGTAAGGATTTAAGAAAAGAATTAATATGCTCTTTTGAATGTTTTTGAAGCAGGAAGTGAAGTGGATTATGAACAATCCAGAATATTTACATAGTCAAGGCAAAAAGTTTTAGATCCACAGATTTCCTCATATTTGGGATCAAATAACGCCATGCTGATTATACAATGATGCCCAGTGCATCTCTTCGCTCAAAGGATCAACACAAGGTTCAAAGAAGGCATATCAAGTATATGTTTCTAGAAAATGTGAAATCTAATAAAGCCTGAATTCATTACAGCCTGAATGAGTTATGTAAGAAAAGTGAGAAAAAAATGTATAAAACAGTTTATATTTGTTTATTCTGGATGCAATTAACACTTATATATTCACAACCAATACAGTGATAGGATCTTGAGGTTGTAGATGCATGCTGTGAAGCCCATCTCCCCTGTCCCCTGCACATGATTCCTCAACCAGGTTACAATGAAACTGATTTGGAAATGATTTCCATAGTTCACTACTGGCAAATCTGGCATCATTTGCATTTTAGTGCTGTCTTTAAAGACATACAGGAGCAAGACACTTCTATGGAATGAGGTGCTGTAAGAAGGAAATTTGGAGCTTGAAGAAAGAAAAGAAAGGTCTCCAGAAACTATAGTCCAGACAAGCCCGAAATTGTTTTAAAAGTAGCTAATTCTTGATGGTGGGTTACGCCTGTAATCCCAGCACTTTGGGAGGCCGAAGCAGGCGAATCACCTGAGGTCAGGAGCTGGAGACCAGCCTGGCCAACATGGTGAAACCCTGTCTCTACTAAAAATACAAAAAGTAGCCAGATGTGGTGGCAGGTGCCTGTAATCCCAGCTACTTGGGAGGCTGAGGCAGAAGAATTACCTAACTCCAGGAGGTGGAGGTTGCAGTGAGCCAAAATCATGCCATTGCACTCCAACCTGGGCGACAGAGCAAGACTCCATCTCAAAAAAACAAAAATGCTAATTCTTAAAAAAGGAATCTGAACTCTGCTTGTGAAATGCTCCTTGGAGCAGTAGAATAAGTGAAAGTCCATTGAGACCACAAAGGCTCCAGGGAACACCACCAGGGAAGTCCAGTGTTAACCTTGGCAACTCCCGTGAAGGAGATCCCAGTCTATAGAAAGCTCTGCACATACATTGAGTTTTGATGTCTAAACACATGTCCACTAAAAGGCAATCAGAAACATGCTGCATGCCAAAGGTAGGAAACCTGCTTTTTTTTTTTTAATTTGAGATTTAATTTGAGTAAACATGGAAAAGAAATTGAATCTTTGAAATCAGATATTCAAGGGGATATTGACAAATTGTCTGTGCTGGTTGTTTTTTATTATAATGCTTCTGGAGTTTATTTTAAATAACCCTTATCAAAATACACATAGAAGTTACTTCAGGTGCACCTTTAGTTTATAAGCCATGGTGGACCAAGAAGAGTAAGAGATCAGAAATGAGGTGTCTCTCAAGGAATGCAGCTCACAGGAAGGAGAAGTCACCTACTTGTTACATACATCACTAATCAGGACTTCAATAAAATACTGTATTCACTTTGAGGTCCCATAAATAAGATATAACTTCAAAGAATGTACAGTCAGTCATTTAAGAAAAAGTATCCTTGGAAGGCTGAGGCAGAGAATTGCTTGAACCCGGGAGGCGGAGGTTGCAGTGAGCAGAGATCGTGCCACTGCACTCCAGCCTGGGCGACCGAGCGAGACTCCAGCGTGTAAAACCTAACTTTGTAGCTATTATCTGCTGTGGAAGCCTGAAGAAGAATGAAGGATATGAATTATTTGTGATGTTATTCTCTGTTCACTGAGATAAATATGAGAGGATAATTAAGTCAGTGCAACTTAAATAGTAATGGGAGAAAGAACAAGCAAGATTTGGAAACAATACACTTGGTTTAATAGTCACGAAACGCAGGGTTTTCAGTCAAAAAGCTATATTCTTTGGAGACTATTTAAGAAATAGCTTCTCAGCTGACTTTATGGATGGTTTTCATATACTTATGATTCAAAGAAGAGGATGAATGAGGTGACCTGAAGTTATTTCCAACCCTATATGACAAGTAAGGTTTAAGTAGAGGTAAAATTTATGACAAAACATTGTGGAAAATATAAACATATGCAAATGTCCAGCTGGCCCTGGTAACACTCATTAGTATGTTAAATATAAAACAATATCGTGACTTACTATTGCTGATTTATTTTAATGAGACCACTCATGGATGACATATTACCCTAGAAGGTTAAAATGGCCTGCTTTGCATGCAAAATTCAATACACTTTGCATTGTTTAGGGAAAATCCAACCACAGTTAATCTCAAGTAATTTCGATGTTGACATTATTGTGTAAGTGGGTACACTGCACCTGCATATTTGAAATGAAGAGGATTTGCCAGAAGAATCAGTGGATAACTGAATATGCTTTGAACATTGAGACTGAACAAGGTTTGAATTGTAGTGTTGCTTCTTTTTTTGAAGACTCACATATTCAAGCCAGATCTTACCATCAACAAGTATTTGTTGACATTTATTGTGTAGCAAACACTATTTGTAGTGCTGGAGATTCAATGGTGAACAAACCAGAAAAAAAAAATCCGTATTTTAGACTTATAGCTTAATTGGGAACTAGAATAATTGTGTGAGATAATACACCCAATAAATAAGTAAACTAATAACATTTAATAACATTTTAGAATGAAGGAAATAAGGAGATTTGACAGAGCGCAGTTGGGTGGGATTGAGGTAGATGGAGTTGGAGGTTACCAGATACCATGCTTACATGTGGCCTCGACCAGAAATCAGAAAGGCTAGATTCTCACCGAACTTCTGCCACCAATCCAGCTAAGTGGCCTTAGAAAAGGGGCATCTGTAAACCAAGCAGGTCATTTGGACTACATAATCCAGAAGCTTTTTACAGCCTATAGGAGGCAGAATGGGCCCTCTAAAGCAGGGGTCCCCAACGTTTTTGGCACCAAGGACCGGTTTCATGGAAGAAATTTTTCCACGGACCAGGAGACGGGGAATGGTTTCAAGACGATTCCAGCACGTTGCATTTATTATGCACTTTATCTCTATTATTATTACACTGTAACATATCATGAAAAAATTATACAGCTTGCCACGGTGTCGGATCTGTGGTAGCCCTGAGCCTATTTTCCTGCAACTAGATGGTTCCCTCTGTAGGTGATAGCAGACAGTGACAGATCATCAGACATTTGATTCTCACAAGGAACACGCAACCTATATGCCTCGCACGTGCAGTTCACAATAGGGTTCCTGCTCCTATGAGAATCTAATGCCAGGGCTGATCTGACAGGAGGCCAAGCTCAGGCAGTAATGCTCAGTCACCCGCCACCTACTGTGAGGCCAGGTTCCTTTCTTGGTTGTTGTTGAGACAAGGTCTTTCTCTGTCAACCAGGCTGGAATGCAGTGGCACAATCTCTGCTCACTGCAACCTTTGACCCCCGTGCACAAGGAGTCCTCCCACCTAAGCCTCCTTGGGTAGCTGGGACCACAGGGGCGTGCCACCACCCAGCTATAAATAAAGTGGCACAACACCATCCAGCTGTGAATGAAACACACAACAAATGTAATGTCCTTTTTAGTATTTTAAGTAGAGACAGGGTTTAGCCATGTTGCCCAGGCTGATCTTGAACCCCTGAACTCAAGCGATCACCCTGCCTTGGTCTCCCAAAGTGCTGGGATTACAGGTATGAGCCACTGTGCCTGGCTGCTGCCTAGTTCCTAACAGGCCAATGGCCTTTCCCAGTTTTTGGCCCAAGGATTGCGGACCCCTTCTCTAAAGAGTTCACATTCTAATCCTCAAAACCTGTGAATGTATTATGCTGCATGGCAGAAGGAACTTTGCAGATCTCATGAAGGTTAAGTACCTTGAAATGAGGAGATTGCTCTGGATTGCCTAATTTAATCACATGTCCTTAAAAGCAGAAAATGTTCTCTTTTGATTGCAGAAGAGAGATGCAGCAGAGAAATGCCACAGAAAGGGAAGATGGAGAGATTCAAAGTGTGAGAGGAATTCAGCCTGCTGTCGCTGGAAGGATTCCCGATGGAACACATGAGAAGAAACCTATGTAGCATCTAGGAGCAAAGACTCACCCCTGGCTGACCTCAGTAAGGAAATGGGGACCTCACTGCTACAGTGTCAAAGAATTGACTTTAACCCACAGCCTGAGTGTGCTTAGAAGCAGATGCATTCACAGATCTTCCAGAAGGGAATGGAGCCTCATTGACACCTTGATTTTAACCTTGTGGATCCTAAGCAGGGAATTCAGATGAGATGCGCTGTGAGATAATACATGGGTATTGTATTAAGCTGCTAAATTTGTGGTAATTTCTTATGACAGCAATTTAAAAAACGGATAGAAAACCACTAACCCAAATCTCATAGTCCCCCCTCTCTTCCATCCTTCACAGTTTCCTACCGGTACTTCCAAGCACTCAGCAGTTCCTATCCATTTTACTTCCAAAGCATGGATTGACCCCATCTTCTCATCTGCACAGAATTCTACTTCATTTATCATCTGGACCATCTCAAACTGGTCCCTCTACCCCTATTTTGTTTTGACTCAATCTATTCTCCAAACCATAGCCAATTATTTACTTTAAAAATATATAATCATGACATTTCTTTGCACACAATCTTTCAGTGTTTCCACATAAGCAGCAGATTCCACTTCAGCCCCACTGTAATGCAGAGACATCCATGGCACAGATCCTATCTGCCCTCCAGCCTTTCACAGCTCGCTTTCTCTCTGCCTCATTCATTATGTGCTTATATGGAGAATTGCAACTTCCCTTCAGTACCACTCCTAGACCCAGGCATACAGCATAGCTGTGCTGAGCTTTCAATCTTCAGAGGCCTCAGCTCTGGTGCTGCCTGGTCTTCCCACAGGTGAGGAATCTATGTAGCTATGCAGAAATCACCTGTAGCCTAAACTTCCTTCTTATGGACCACGCTTCAGATGTTTGGTATCCCGACTTCCCTGGACAGAGGGCCCAAAGCCCTTTCCAAAGCTGGCATGGGTTTGTTTTCTGAATTTATGCTCTGAAGGATAGCACATGACGCTGGGCAGGTGTGAGGTAGGCTGGCCCAGAGGCAAATGTTAGCAGTGTTGCCAAAAAGAAGCGGGTGGACTGTGGAACCAGGGGTAAGAAAACAGGAAGATGGGTGTCAGTCTGTTTAGGGGGTCCTATCACAAAATACCACAGACTGGGTGACTTGAATAACAGAAATTTCTTTCTAACAGTTCCAGAGGCTGCTAAGACCAAGATCAAGGTGCCAGCAGATCCAGTGCCTGGTGAGAACTTTCTTCCTGGTGTTGTCACAGTGGTGATGTGGGTCGGGGAGGGGGACAGAACACTAAGATAAGGGAGTTAATCTCATCATGAGGGTTCCACCTTCATGACCCCATTACCTCCCAGAGACTGCATCTCCAGATAACATTATATTGAGGGTTAGGGTTTCTGCATATGAATTTTGGAGGGACTCAAACTTTTAGCCCATAGCAGTGGACCATGGGCTAAGGGCTGTCTCTCCTTACCATCACATTTCTAGCCTGGAATTCCGATAAATTCTACAATTCCAAATTAGACCCAGCCTTCCAAGATATTATGAAGGTATATTTATCAAGGCAGGAACATAAACCTTATTTTACATAGCAGGTGGTTAGCTTGATTTATAGCATCTATTTAGAGGTAAGATATGCTACCTCCATTTGCACTTTTACCCCAGTCTCCACAAATGGTGGGCATATGTTATTCCCACATACCATGTCTTCATGATGTTTCTTCCTGTGTTCCAGGCTCTTCTTGCTGCCTGAAAGGGCCTGCCCACCATTCTCCACCTGGCTAACTCTCACACATGGCTCAGGACTCAAGTTACCGGTAGCCTCCCCATGAAACCTTCAGTTATTCTCCATTGCCCCCCCCATTCTCTCTCTGCCTTAAAATGCACGTACGTGAAATTATTGAAACTCTCCTACACTGTAAGACGAAGAACAGAGACTATATTTTATCCATTTTGTTTCACTACCATGGTGTCTGGTGCATGGTGTGGATTTAATTAAAGTTTATGGAACTGAATACCGAAAGCAAATGGTAAATGCGTCATTTAGAATATATTCAACAAATATTTAAGGAATAATCTCACAAAGTGAAGAAGAAAATTACTGGGGGTGGGAGAGGACACATGTGACATATTCATTGTTCCAGGTCATACAATAGTAAGAATCATTGCCATTTCTCAAACACTAACCATTTGCCAGAAATATCACTAAGTATTTCACATGGGTTACATTTAATCCTCCCAACTCCAAGAGGTGGAAACCATTATTATCTTCATTTTATAAATGAGGAACTGAGGCTTACAGAGTTTAAGTGATTTTCCTAAAGACTCAAAGCCAAAAGGGGCTCCAAAGCTTCTGCTTTGACTATGGGAGGATGCTGCTTCCTGACACCTACCCCCCAATTCCCCCCTGCCACAAAAAAAAAGGGAGCAAGACATATTGCTCATTTTTTTAAAGAAGAGAAGATACAAATGGTAACTCTCAAGGGCCTGAGTAAATGTTAGTTGAAAGTTAATTGCATGTGCTTCAGAAATAAATGTGGGAACATCTGAAATGTGTAAATAACAATAAGATTGCAAAGTAAGAAGGACCATTTGGATTACAATAAGGAAACGATAATATTCCCTGCTGACAGTGAGCTGGGGGTGTGTCCAAAGGAAGTTGGGAGGTCTTGTCAGGAGGCCCTTGGTGCAGTCCACTGGAACGTTCTTAACACAGGATGTGAGAAGGGAATGTATGGGGGCTGAGTTGGTCTTCAGATCCAAAATGTAATACCAACACACGTTTTACATTAAAATATTTAAAGATATAAATTGTTCTTCCCAACAGTTTTTCATTTAAAAGAGGAGTTGCAGCCTTTCCTAAAATGTTATTTAAGGCCATTTTACATGCCAACTAACTGGACTAAATTATTATTTTTTAAGTTGAATTCAGGAAAGCAACTCTTTTGCCATTTGTGAAAACTACATTCAAGCCAAATAAGCAGTAAGATTGAGGCAGGAAAAAAGAAACAAACCTCACCCACAAACGCTTTTGTACAAGAAATTTCTCTATTTTCTTATGACTGAAACTTAATATTTATTTTCATTTCCTATTTGGCCAAATGGTTGGAAATTTGATCTCGGTCAATACAATGTGGTCTCCTGCCCCCACTTCAGCTATTCCTTCCTTTCCCCGGGATTAGGTCTAAATTTAGGGTGGCTTACATAGTGTGGAGACATGGGCAAAGGCTGAAAGGAGGGCTGGCACCACACCTGCAGGACCCGCAATGATTGTTGTGGGTCCCAGCAGCGTCCCTTCTTATCCACAGCCTCAGCCTTCTTCTGGCTCCTCCGCTTTTGTGTTGTGCCCATCCTTCTTGGGTGCGTGGCATCATTCCATTGCTTCTGTAGCCAAGGAGTAGGACTGAGAACTTGATGAGGCTGTCTGGGGCCCGTCTGCCCAGCTCTGCTTCTGCTTCCTGCCATGAAGGCTGGGGATGCTGAAGGCTCCCTCTGTCTCCAAGGGATGGGGACTCAGATCCTCTTTGCTCTTGGACCTTCCAACGGCATTCAGAGTTCTATGGTGCCCTCTCCCCCTAGGTGTTCGGCTAAGAAGAAGCAGATCACAGGCTCCCTTCTCAGAAACCAACAGGGTCTAAATTATGCATCTGCCTTTTGAACTTCTTCTTCTTCCAAGATAATCTTTCTCTAGCTTGAAGCAGGAAGCCTTGCTCTTACGTCATCATGCTTCATCCAAATCTCTTGTTTCATTCCAGGATCTAGGCTTATAAACACCGAAGCCAGGAATAGACTCCTTTGACTTTGCAATTTTTTCTCTCCTGTGACACCATGTATGAGAAATTCCTTGACTTGGCTAAAGGGGCATCTATAGGGTGGAAGAAAGGGGATATAATAAAACTTATAAAACACTATGCCACTACCATAATTCAGAGAAAAGCACCAGATGAGGAACTAGGAGATTGGGAGTTTGCCATGTGATCATGTTACTGTAGGCAGCTAGTCAGACATGAGCAGGGCAGAAGAACCTCCCCTCAACCCCACCAGGAATATCAGGCAACCATCAGGTGATGGTCAGGAGGTTTTTAAACTCTCTCTCTAAAATAATAATGGGTTGCAGCCAGTGCCATGGAACGACAGTCTCCCAATAGATAGAAAACAACTGAAGCTGGTGATCAGCGGCTTCCCCGTAAGATCTCAGGAGTTAGGCAAGGGGGCTCAAGCATGCACACTAAGAGGCGCCACTCACCCAACTGAGGCAAAATGGCCTGAGAGTTTAACTGGTATATGAACCTTCCTAAGGGAAAAATGCCTCAAATGAGCATGGATACAACTTCAGTAAACACACTGAGCAAGCAGCCCCCTCCCAAGCACTAGCACACCACTGCACATGCAGACAGCCAAAGGGAAGAATCAGGAGAGAAGGAATGCAACCCCCCAGAAGTATGCCAACTTGTAAAACCCCAAGTCAAAGGTCAGCTGTGCACTTGATCTCTCAAGTTGCCCACTTGGCTCTCTTCCAAGTCTATTTTGTATTTTTCACTCTTGCTCTAAAGCTTTTTAATAAACATTCACTCCTGCTCTAAAACTCGCCGCAGTCTCTTATGCCCTTTGATCCAATTCTTTCTTCTGAGGAGGCAAAAGTGAGGTTGCTGTAGATGCATGTGGATTTGCCACCGCTAGCAATTATGGGGAAGTCATTTCCTCTCAGGAACTTGGTTTCTTCACCCATGTCATCAGGGGTAAGGACAGACATTTTCCATGTTCTCTTTTGGATCTAGAAATACTGAAATACTATTTTATCTGATTAAAAAAAAAAAGATTTCCATCTAGCTCTGCTGTCTTTGAAACTCTGCGATCATATATTCATGGGAAATAATGTGGGGTGCCATGATTTACTCTCTACCCATTTACAGTACATAAAAATTAGATCCTTCTAATTAGGTTTAGAACTATTTAATTGAGGCTAAGATCTCATTTTCATAGCTCAAAAAGTCATGTATGTAACGGATATGTCTCACGTTATTTAAAAGCTTTTCTCTAATATTGGTGACTTGAATTATATATAGGATTCTCATCACTCTTTTTTAATGTGTTCTAATTAGTAACACTATTTCTTATTTACTTTCTATGTATTTTTTAGTTTCCTTGTTAATAGAACTGAGGGAAAAAAATTCAACAAGGTTAATGAATAGCTGATAGAGAGGTATTTTATAAAATAAGACTGTATTCTTACAAAAAATTTTCAAGTACCTTATTTTCAGAAATTGTGGACTGTTTTAAATAAGGATTTCAATTTTAAACATAAACGACTTAGAGTAAAACTTCATCAGACAAGGTCAAGTGTTCTTTCGACAATTTATTCCAAAATTCAGAGAGAAAAACACTCACTAAATAACATAATAAAAGAATAATGTCTGACTTCTAGGCCACCAAGAGAAGTGTAAATGAAGTTATAAATATCACACAATGCTCTAAATCAGTGTGGCAGAAAGTCTATTTATGTCACCTGCTGGCTCCCTTGTTATTATTTTTTTCTGGCTAACACAGTGGATGTGTTATATATAGCATACATGCTGTAAAACACCAAGCCCATGTTTTCAGTTTTCAGACAATATGAAGAGAAAATTCAAATGAGAATCTAATTTCAGCTTTGATGCCAGTTACTCTTGTGACTTTGAGGAAGTTCTTTAACTCCATTTGTACTGAGTTTTAGGAAGGTGACTTCTAAGAGTTCTGCCAGCCTTGAAATTATTTGATTCTGTACATTTTTCCTTAGCTCTAAAATAGGGGCAATAATATTTGTACCACCTCCAGTGCTGATAAGCGTATTAAGTTCTTTTACTCAATAGGGTCTGTAATTTTGCATTTGTGTAATTATTTGCTTAATGCCTATCACCCCAGCAGGCTGTCAGCTCCATGGGGATAGGGAGAGTGTCTGTCTGATGTACTGTTTTATTTCTAGGACCTAGCACAGTGCCTGGCACATCACAGATCCTCAATTTATATGTCTGGGGAATGAGAAGAATCAACCTAAGTATTCATATATAGGGCATTGAAAAACAGCAAGCCTTGACCATGCCTCCTCAGAAAATAGTTATAGAAATGTGGCAAGGAGACAGATCCAGATGGCTGAATAGGAACAGCTCTGGAGTGCAGTTCCCAGTGAGAATGCAGAGGGTGAGTGATCACCATATTTCCAAACAAGTTTTTACTGCCCACAGACCAGGAGATTCCTGGGCTGAAAAGTGCCACGGGTCTCCCGCATGGCTGTTGCAGCCAGCATAGTGGGTCTCCCCACAAAAACTCACACAAATCTGGGTGGCCATTTCAACTGGCACCTGGAATGCCTGGGAGACCGGGTAGCCCATTCAACTGAAAAACAGGGGGCTGAAACAGGAAGCCAGGTGATCTGGCTCAGTGAGTCCCACCCGCACAAAGACCAGAAATTTGAAATGCTCTGGACTGAGAGTTTCACAGCAACCACAGATGGACCTGGGACGGTCCCGCTCTGTAGGGGGAAGGTTGTCTACCACTACTGAGGCAGTCCACCACTACTGAGGCAGTCCACCACTACTGAGGCAGTTCCAACTATACCTCTAAAAACAAAACCACAAGGAAATTCACACAGCAGCTGGGCAGAGCCCACAGCAGCTCAGTAATGCCTCTGCTGGCAGACTGTGACTAGGCTACCTCCTTGCTGGGCAGGGCATCTCTGAGAAAAGGCAGCAGTATGTCAGGAACTTATAAATAAAGCCCCACCTTCCCAGGACAGAGCACCTGGGAAAAAAGGCAGTTATGAGTTTTGCTGCATCAGACTTAACTATACTTGCCCAGCAGCTCTGAATGGAACAATGGAGCTCACAGCTTAGCACTTAAGCTCCTATAAGGGACAGACTGTCTCCTCAAGCAGGTCCCTGACCCCCGTATATCCAAAGAGACACCTCATAAAGGAGAGTTCAGGCTGTCATCTGGCAGGTATCATTTTGAGATAAAGATAACAGAAGAAGAAACTGGCAGCAACCCTTACTGTTCTGCAGCCACCACAGGTGATCCCCAAGCAAGCAGGCTCTGGAGAGGACCTCCAGCAGTCTCACAGCAGAGGGGCCTGACTGTTAGAAGGAAAACTAAAAAACAGAAAGAAATAAATTCATCATCAACAAAAAGGACATCCACTCAGAGACCCCATCTGAAAGTCACCAACTGCAAAGACCACAGGTAGATAACTCCACAAAGATGCAAAAAGGATGAAAACACCCAAAACCAGAATGCCTCTCCATCTCCAAGGATCAAAGCTTCTCACCACCAAGGGAATAAGGCTGGATGGGGAATAAAGGCTGGATGGAGAAGGGATCAAAGCTTCTCACCACTAAGGGAATAAGGCTGGATGGAGAATGAGTCTGACTAATTGACAGAAACAGACTTCAGAAAGTAGATAATAACAAACTTCTCTGAGCTGAAAGAACATGTTCTAACCCAATGCAAAGAAACTAAGAACCTTGAAAAAAGTTTGACAAAATGCTAATGAGAATAAATAGCTTAGAGAAGAATACAAATGACCTGATGGAGCTGAAAAACACAACATGAGAACTTTGCAAAGCATACACAAGTTTCAGTAGCTGAATCGATCAAGCAGATGGAAGGATATCAGAGACTGAAGATCAACTCAATGAAATAAAATGAGAAGGCAAGATTAGAGAAAAAAGAGTGAAAAGAAATGAACAAAG